AGTAATCGAAGATTTAAAATTGGTTAGAAGGTTAGACAAATTAATATCACCATGTCAAAGAGGATATTGACAAAGCAAAGAATTCACATTTTAGCATCTGTCTTAGTTTGCATTTCTGTGGTTAAAAAAAAAAAAAACAGCTTGAAGAGGAAAGGGTTACTCCAGTTTACAGTTTCACATCATAGTCTGTCACTGAGGGAAGTCTGGGCAGGAACCTGAAGGCACAAGCTGATGCAGAGGCCATGGAGAAGTGCTGCTTACTGGACTGCTTCCTATAGCCTCCTTAGCCTGCTTTCTTATAGCTCTAAGACAGTGGTTCTCAACTCTTATAAGGGAAAAACATTTAATTGGGGTGACATATATTTTCAGAGGTTTAGTCCATCGTCACCATGGTGTGACATAGTGCTGTGCAGGCAGGCATGATACTGGAGAAGTAGCTGAGAGTCCTACATCTTGACACACAGGCAACAGGAAGTAGTTTGAGATGCTGGGTATGGCTTAAGCATATATAAGACCTTAAAGACTGTCTCCACAATGACAAACTTCCTCCAACAAGGCCACACCCACTCCAGCAAAGCCACACCTCCTAATAGTGCCACTCCCTATGAGCTTATAGGGGCAATTACATTTAAACTACCACATCCTACATATCAGATATTTATATTACGATTCATAACAGTAGCAAAATTATAGTTATGAAGTAGCAATGAAATAATTTTATGGTTGGGGTCACCACAACATGAGGAACTGTATTAAAGGTTCAAAGCATTAAGAAGGTTGAAAACCACTTCAAACAACATCAGCCCAGGGGTGGCACTAACCACGGTGAGCTGGGCCCTCCCACATCAATCGTCAACAAAGAAAAATCCTTACAGATTTGTCTACAAGTTTCCTTCTCCCCAAACAACTCCAACTTGTAGCAAGTTGACATAAAACTAGCCAGCACAATTGATATCCTTTTACTTGACACATAAACACTTTTCCTTTAAACTAGAACCTTTTTTAAATAATTTATCCCTAAGATGGTATGTTACTATTAACATCACAATATAAAACAACCCAACTTTTAAAAGCCCAAGTCTTAAAAATTTAAATACTTTAAAAGTCCTATCTTTTTAATTGTCCAAAGTCTCTCTAAAAATCTGAAGTCTCTCAATTGTGGGTTCACATTAAACCAAAACAAAACAAAAACTAGTTAAATACTTTCTTACTTGAAGAGGGAAGATCCAGGGAATAGTTATAATCAACTCAAAGCAAAACCAAATTCAAAAGTATAAAAAGTTCAGTGTTTGACATCTGGAACCCCTCATGATCCTTCCAGGCTCTGAAGCCTGCCATCTGAAGCACATACAGCTTGTCTTACATAGTCAGACTGTCTTTACACATTGACTGCTGCTGTCCTTAGTGGTTGTCCCATGGTACTGGCATTTCCTACTGCAACTTGTCTACATTTTAACCAATAGCCTTTCTGGCTTTTTTTCAGGGACTTGGACTCTACAGCATGGTGACATGTCTCAACTTTTCTCCATGACCCCTTCAATCCTGGGCCTTCTACTGTAACTGAGGCTGTATCTCTAACAATAGCCTCTCCCTGTCTCTCTTCATGGACTCTTGTCCTGCCACACAGTGCTAAGCCTCAACTGATCTCCATCACTCTTTTCTGTATTCAAAACAAGCACCACTTGGTTAACTCTTACACAACCAAGTGCAGCTGTCAGCCTGGGATATAGCCTTGATCTCCTCTGGATGGCAGCTTCTGTGTGCTGACCTTGAGGAAATCCTCCCAGATTTATGATCCTCAATGATGCTGTTCTCTTCTTAATCACAGACAATTTATCAGCTTCAGCTGGCCAGCATCAATTGTCCCAGTGAAACAAAAGCTTTACTTCAGTAGTGCTGGTCTCTTGTTTATTACAGCCAACTCTTCGGATGATCAAACATCACAGATACTTAATTCAAAATATTGAAGGTCCTGATAGAGTATTGTCTTAGTCACTGTTCTACAGCTGTGCAGAGACACCATGAACAAGACCTAGGCAACTCTTATAAAAGAAAGTATTTAACTGGGGGCTTCCCAGAGGGTTAGGTTAGTCCATCATCATGGTGAGGAGCATGGCACCATGCCTGCATGCAGGCAGGCATGGTGCTCTAGTAGTGGAGAACCACATACTGATTCATTGGCAGCAGGCATTAAGACAGGGGTAGTATGGGCTTTTGAAACCCATACTACCGAATCAACACACCTCCTCCACCAAGGAAACACCTACTCCAACAAGACCACACCTCCTAATCCTTCCAAATGGTTCATCAAGGTGGCAAATACATGAACCTATAGGGGCCATTCTCATTTAAACCACCATAAGTCTTCAAGGGACTTTCAAACTTTCCTTTGAAATGCTACCAGCCATGTCTCCATTGTCTGCGTTTGTCTCAACACCTTTCTCTTCCAAGCTCTCAGCATTTGACTTTACGTTTCCACTATAGGTCATTAAGCTCTGAACACTCAATGGCCTTTCTAGCCCAAAGGTTTACATAATACTCCCCAAAGTGAATGGCCAGCTCTGTCAAAGCAATGCCCCATGTACTGGCACCAATTTCTGCCTTAGTAGGGTTTCTATTGCTGTGATAAAAACACCATGACCAAAATCAACTTGGGGAGAAAAGGGTTTATTTCACCTTACAGCTTATAGTCCATCATTCAGGGAATTCAAAGCAGGAACTAAAACAGAGCAGGAACCTGGAGGCAGGAGCTGATGCAGAGGCCAGCATGGAGGAGTGCTGCTTACTGGCTTGCTTTCCACAGCTTGCTCATCCTGCTTTCTCATTGCACCCAGGGCCACCTGCTCAGGGATGGTACTGCCCACAGTAAGCTGGACCCTCCTACATCAATCATCTATGCATGAAATGCTCTGCAGACTTCCCTATAGGCAGATCTGGTGTGGGCATTTTCTAGACTGAGGTTCCCTTTTCCCCAGTGATTCTAGCTTGTGTTGACATAAAACTAGCCAGCACAGCATTTTTAATGAAACTTAAAAATGTGTTTCATGTAGCCCAGGCTGCCTTGGTCTCAATATATAGCTAAGGCTGGTCTTTAATTACTGATGCTTTCCCCAAGTGATGAGATTATAGGCATGTACTACCACTCACATCTCTAATTTGCATTTTAATTAAAAGCACCTGCATCTTTACTTTGCACTGTGCCCTGACATCAATGTAAATGGTTCCAATACAGGTACTGGAATGAATATCCTCTCACTACAACTCTGACCTAAGCTGAAGTTACAGAGGGCATGGCACCCTTTGTTTGGGTGTGCCATTCCGACTGCCTTGCCCTGCTGTCTTCCTCTCATCCTTTGTCACATAAGTACTAGGTGTTTGCACAGTTCAACCAGGGAAGATAATGGCCCTTCTGCTAACCTGGCAGGTGTGTGCTCAGGTGATAACCCGAGAACATACAGTTGTCATCCTCCTTCGCCACATACGGTAGTCCCTTGGAATTTGTGAGAGATGGTTTCAGATGAATACCAAAATTTATAGATTCTCAAGTCTATGAAGTGGAGCAGCATTTACATATGACCTATACAAGTCCTCCAGATAGTTTTAAATACCCCTGGATTACTTATAATGCCAAATACAATAGGAGTGCCATGTCACTGGGTAATGTGCTCTATTGTTTAAGGAATGACAAGAAAAAGTTTGTGTATGTCTGTCAAAACACAGTCAAAAGAATGACACATGGTGAATGATGCCTTGGGGAACTGTGAGAGAAGCTCCAGAAAAAAAAGGCAGAGGGCCTTTTTAGCTCACCTTCATTTTGCTGTCTGGATTGTTCTTGGATGTGATTTCATGCCTCCTGTATTAAACATTTACAATCAATTTATGACACATGTTTATTCTTGTTGGATGTTGGAAGATAGCTATAGAACCCAATCTGGCGAAAGGATGTGCTGCATGTTGTCCTCAGGGTACCCCAAATCTGGATATGTCCTTCTGCCTTGCTTTTGTGCTTTGCCAGATAGAAGATACTGCCTGCCAGACAACTGTATTCAAATTGGTCTGTCCTGAGAAAGTTCTGGGAAAGGGCTGCTCTGTTAATATTTAGTATGTATTTACTGGTGCTTATTTACATGTTTTTCTGAACTCAAACAACCTTCCTTGGATCATTACTTTCTTTGTTCATGTATAAAACTATACTGAAACTAAGAAAAATTGTCTACAGCATTAGACTGTAGCCAGTCCCATTCCTTAAGGTTCTTGACCTATGCAGGTCTCATTGACTCAGATCTGCTGAGGTTCACAAAAGCCAACACATGTCCATTACAAATGCTGTCGGCACAGCCTGCCCACAGCTGCTATCTACAGTTTGTTAGTTCTGTGGGTGTGGAACCTGTAGATATGGGTGATTGCCTGTATTCATGATCTGATCATCTAACATGTGTAAACCCCTCTCGAAATGTCATGTTTGACAGGATCAGTGATTATTGGTGTCTTCTTCCTTTCCTGTTGTCTGTGAGTCTCTCATTATTTGTGATGGCTGTCTTTGTTATTTTCTTCACTTAAAAAAAGAAAACCTTCTAGTGTTATTCCATTCCTTGGGAAAGGGAGGAGGTTCTCTGTGTCCCTTCCCCATGAAGCACAGTAGTGGCTCTCAGGAGCCCAGCAGCTTGCTTTGCCCAGCCTCATCATGCTTATGGATAGCATCCATGCTGAAAAGACTCCCCCCAAGCTTGTGCCTTCCAGAAGAGGTCAACACATAGCTGTTCTTTCTGCACACCAGCCGCTGTCTTGACTCTCAGCTGCCATCTTTGCTTTTTCTGACAGGAGCTGGGCTGAGGCTGGGAAGGGGAGGAGGAGAAACCCATTGCCTGCATTTGCCTAGAACGGAAATAACAGTGGATGTCCCTTGCAAAGGGAAATTTGCACCTGTTTGGAGTTGGCTTCACATTGAGGGCACAGGGAACAAAAGCACACCCGGAATGAGTACTGCCCGAATTACTTACCAAAGACATCTGCGAAGCTGTCAACCATTCAGGAGGGATGTGAAAATGAGCCCCAGCTGAGTCTCCCAGCAAAATGATTCCCCTGGGCTGTGAACCTAGGAAGCACAATTTATTTACATTATTTATATACTCAAGCAGTGGGCAGCCTCCAGAGTAAGTAGCTATTCGAACAGATAGCCTGGTGTGTATTGAATGCACAGTACATCCTAACAGTGATGCACTGCCACTTTTCACGTGTTGGAGAGTGTGAGGGGGAGCATATAGGAGCCGAATGAAATTTTTCAGCCATTGGAACTGCTAGCTAAGCTGCACAAACACAGGTGTGCTTCCTGGCTCATCATAAAAGCAACTGCTGTGCAACATACAGAGTGAATGATGGATGAACACATGAATCAGACTTGATCTGAGTTCAGAAATATGTCCTAAATTTTGGTTCTGGAAATGGCTTTCTTAGAGAATGCACTGATTCTCTTTGAGAGTGAATGACCTCATGGAGCAATTTTGATAGTTTAAAGATGTGATGGTCTTGTAAAGACCTTAAAACCACATACACAAAGGCACCCACTAGATAGACAATTCTGGCTGATTAACAGAAAGAAGGAGATAGGAAGGTCTATGTGCAGCCTGCATGTCTGGATCTAAGAATCACTTAATGAGATTCAAAGACACATCTACACAAATCACTTACTGGCAGCTACACCCTCTAGCCACTTAAGGGTCTGGAAAAATCAAATGATCCTCTAGAGTCGGAGAAGTCTCCTTCCTCCATCTGCAAACCACTTGAGTGAGTCAGAGGATGGCCCAGCCTATTGTAGTGATTACCAAGCCTTGTCTTGATGCTAGGGAATAGCTGAGCATAGAGTTATCCCCCAAGTTCCAGATTTATTCACAACTTTATCTCTTCTTTTTCTTCTTGTAGTACTGAGGATTGAACTTAGGACCCAGCACATGCTAAGCAAACGATCTACCACTATGCTGTATCCCCAACCATGTTTTACATTCTATTTTGAGATGGGGTTTCATTTAACTTGCCATAAATCACCCTGTAGCCAAAATAAGAATTAAACATTCAATCTCCTGTCTCAACCTTTGAGTAGTATATGAAATTACAGGTCTGTGCCACCAGGCTTGGTTACAAACGTATTTGTTTTTTGTTTTTGTGTCACTCAACAAATATTTTTAATTTCCATAACTTTTCAATGACCTTTTCAATTTTCTATCCTCCTCTTTGCCCCTTTGAGAGCTTACAAACAACTAGACTTTAGGTGACCTCTGTCAAGTATACTTTGATCAAGGGTAGTCCTTGGGACAATACTAGAGTGGTTATCCAGGAAACACCTGTTGAATGATGCAGGACAAAAATCATCTTCAAGGAGAAAAGAGGCATTGACTATCAAAACAGGTACAATGCCTTAGTTTTGGTTTACCCCGGAGTGGGTTTTCAGCAGTGGTAGCCCAGATGCCCGGGCATTTGCACTTTTAGAGTGGAAAAGTTTTGCTTAGTTATTTTTGGAAGCATCTGCAGGCTGGAGCTAGGCTTGTCTCCTACGTTATTCAGATATTCACCATCAGAGACTTCTCTTCTCAGTATAGGATGGCTAACCTTCCTGTATGTTGAAAAGGGCATGCAAATGATTAAATATTACTTCCTATTCTGTTATTTGGAAAAGTCCCAGCTTTTGATTACTATGTTATCTGCCCTGCAGTCTTCCCTAATGTTATCATTAAGGTTTCCAGTCCCCAAGCGAAATAGCCAATTAAACAAATTACACTCTGCATCTTCTAGCTCTGCCTTTTCTTCTATTCCTGTCTTTTTTGATCACTTCTGAAAACCCATCTAAATGGTACTTGAAAGTAACTGTTAACCTCAGACTCTGCCTCACAAAGATGATTTTTTTCCTCTGCAGTTTGACTCAACTAGAAAAGAAGCATCTACTGTAGTGAGACACTGACGTTTAGTTCATACCTTCACAGAATTTCTTCTCATATGGAATTCCATCATTTGGATCAATACCCTTTAAAAGAGAAATAAAGAGATTAGCAGTGTGATTTTAAATTTATGAGACACATACACTACTAAATCCTTCCCAACTGAATTTAACATGCAAAGGCAAATCAATAGATAAAACACTTTGAATCCTTTTGGACCCCCTAATCCATCATAGTGATACTTCATGTAATGATCTGGGTTTAAGAGGAATTGAGGATAGAATAGTAAGATAAGAAAAATGTGGCCCACTCATTCAGAGCAATCTGGAGCAACCATTTAGAAGAGGAGCTAGGACAGGAATGACTCTCCTTGGAGCATTAAGGACTGACTAAGTCTTGGAGACCTAGGTCAAGGGGATGTTCTACAGTCTCTAAGCTGAAGATAAAAGTGTCCAGACATCCCAAGAACACCAATTTTCATCTATTTCACCCTTTCATCCCACAATCAATCCAGGGGACATTGATGAAATATGGAGACACTTGTGGTTGTCACAGTGCAGTGGGGGTACTCTAGAAATCTTGTGGACAGAGGCATAGGAGGCTGCAGAACACCCTACAGTTATAAGATGATATATCTAACTCAAATGTCAACAAATCCAGTGTTAAGAAAGCCAAGAAGGGTTGTTGGCCCTGAGTGGAACTGACTCATTGCAGTCAAACCTCCAAACTGAAGTGAGGCAGTTAGTAGAGCACCTGTCCCTTGGAAGAGACAGTAGTATTTTAAGATAACAATGCTTGGTGGCCACAGATATGATGGAAATAGTAAGTTCTTGCTCCAGAGCTTGAAGGCTCCAAATGCACATGGAAACAGAAGTCCAGAAGGAAACAGAAGCATCTAGCTTTATTTGCCCGTGTGCCTCCTGTAATTAACTGGTGACAAGAGCCACCCCTCATCACACATACACCTCTCCACACCACAGTCAACAATGCAGCCAGGTGACACTGTGCAGTAAGTACTGGCCTTGGTGGCTGCAGGCTCCTTGGTTTTGACTTTGTGATTCCGAGTCATTTTTACTCTGCAGAAAGGGACAGGAGTGAAGCCATGACGCTGCTGTGTCTCTCTAGTTAGTGGTGATGAGCTTCAGATTTTGCCTCCTGAGCTCATGGTGGATTTCTTTTAGTCTTTGCTTGGCCACTACTTCATGGAGGTGACATACCGTGTCACAAAGAGTAGGGACCATGGAACCAAGAAGGCATTCTAACATTTTGTCCTGAGAAAAGATAACCAAGCTTGGATTTATCACAAAAAGAGCTACCTTGGAATCCTCTACACCTTAAAGCTGTAGTGTAGATTTTCTACCCCATAAAGAGGTAGCATGACTGAAGTTAGAATGTTTGAGGCTGACACAGTTATCTGTCCTGCTGTTTATATCCCAGAAGCCACAGGTTCTGGTGCACACCATAGGGGATTGCTGGTGCAAGCCTGAGCCACTGGCATCCTAGAGAGAGAAAAATGACTAAGCAGAAAAATGAAGCAACAATTCCCTTAAAACCAGGAATTTTTATCTTCAAGGCACCTTGTTCATACAGCTGCTGCCAGTGGGAGTGCCAGGAGTGGCTGGGAGCTCCAGAACATTCTAGGTCAGCTGTTCAAGATTTGGTTCAAGACCCTCTCGGGACTAACATATCAGATATCCTACATATCCAATATTTACAGTATGATTCATAACAATAGAAAATTTACCGTTATGAAGTAGCAATGAAATAATTTTATGGATGAGGAACAATATTAAAGGGTTGCAGTATTAGTAAGGTTAAGAACCACTGTTCTAGGTAGAGCAGAAAGGCCATGCTGTCATTGATAGGATGTAAGCATTTCTATGCAAGCACTTCAGACCTGTGAGAAAAATGGCCTGACATTCCAAGACTATGGTGATTTGTTAGGATTACCTTCATGTTTCTAAGTTATTGTCTACTTTCATATTTGAATTTGTATTTGTATTTTAAGTTGGTTTCTTTGTTCTACACAATGACCTCCAAATCATATAAATGTAAGATGATGGTAACACATCAATCTACATCCATTGCTGCCCACAGGTAAGTATTGGGTTGGCTTTCTGCTTTCCTCCCTTTTCTCTCCCTGAAAGCTATAAACCTATTATGTCTAGAGAACTGGGACAGCACAACCAGAGATTTGGGGTGTGAGAGGTACATACAGGATGACTTCCATGCTACTTGACAAGGATTATGAATGAAAACAAATGGCTGTAACAAAATGGCAACACCATGTGGCTTTTCCCAACAGCTATGTAGGTAGGTGCTCTAAGGGTGCTAGCATCAATTCCCCTTTCACAACACTGTTCAAACACAATAAAGGAATTGGACAGGGGTGACCACAGCATGCTTTTAATTGGCTGTTTCTGAGGTAGCTTCAGTTCTAAAAACACTACTGATGATCTTCCTATGTGATAGAAATCTTTATCCCTCATGCAAATTTCTGGGGAAGAGTTCCCCAGGATCTCAGGAGAATACACACTTGGGAGGGCAGAAAGTAAGAGATGATGTCCAACTTTAACTCATTGCTTACCCAAATGCCATTACAGTTGGAATCCTGATGAACATCCCAGTTGTCTGGCCTATGAAGAAAGCAGCAGCATTAGTCTTTGGCATGTACAGAATGCTCAGTGAATGCTAGCTCTATGAACCCATGTCACAGGAAATGCCACTGAAAGTAACAGTGTTCTTTAAGGAAGAGCACCCCATGTGTTGTGACATACAAAAGCTACCACTTAGCCTCTGCATTCTGGATTTGGAGCATTTCTGGGAACCTAGGCTTGAAGCTAGTCTTTTCAGTGACTAAGGGTTCCTGTAGCCTGTGTAGCTGTGAGATGGTGTGCATAAGGAGTAATTCTGAAGTCCATTTTCTTTAGCAAGGTGAAGCTGCAAACACTTCCTGTGAGCTGTGCAGCACCTGCTCAGCTTGCTGTTCCAGCACTGCAATCCCATGACAGCAAAGGGTGGCACAGCTGTGCTTTGAAGGCAGAGCTATGGTTGTTAGCCATCAGGTCACAACTCAAGCAAGATATGTGTCATATTATTTGGAGTCCACACCTTGCTCTAAGGGAACAGGGCATAACTCTTGGGTCTACCTTACTGGTAGAACTCATGGGAGTTGTGTCAATATTCAGTCATTCTCATATAACTATCTTCTCTCTATAGAATGCCATGTCATTGAAGGGCAACTCTCTATTTTTTTTAGAGTCTAAGTGTACCCCAAGTGGTTTGTAGGTATCAAGTTCTTGGTAAGCATATTTGGATAAACAACTGTGTCCATGAATAACTGTAGGACCCTTCTCTCTGCAAGTAGGATTCCCCAGGTTGGGGAAAGCCATTGTGACTCATGACTCCAATAAAAGTTACCTTCTGCCTGGGTACACTGTCTTGTCACTGTCATTACAATCTCTCCCTCGCCAGTGGTATCCCCGCAATGTCTGAAATTAAAGAGCACACACAGGAGGGGGTTAGTCCAGCTTTGACACTGCCCACAGTGAAAGTACATCAGGGCCATCTAAGGGATATAGGCATCTGCAGTTTTTTTTTAAACTCAAATATTGAAGCTAGGTAGGGAAATTAAGATATTAATGTAAGACAAGGTAAAATGTAATGTGACACCAAACCCAGAAATAGGTGGGAGTGTGTGCATAAATGAATGTGTATTCATGGGTGACATATGCTTATATGAGAAGGTTTTAGGATATGTGTACATGAATGTATGTATTTGTATATATATATATATATATATATATATATATATATATATATATATATATATATATGCACACAAAGATACATGAATGCAATATACAACATTTTAAAAAGTTTGAATGCATACTACTTGCATTTAGTTATGAGATTCAGAATGATATTTCAACAGAAGTGTACAGTGAAGTTAATTGCTACTTCATTCTGTCTCCGTATATGTGTCTATGTATACTCCTAGAAACAGCAGGACTGTCCAACTTCCCATATTGTTTTATTAGCCACCAGTCTTCTCAGGATATAAAATAATTTATCAATTTGGGCAGTGATGAATCTTTTTATTGGATAATTAAAAGATAATGTATGACAACTGCAAATCATTTGGATTTGTACATTGCTGAAGAGCTTAAAACAATCAGTAATCACAATTCTATCAAACAATGTTTCTTCTTGATGTCTCTCATCTTGTGGGGAGTTCAGGACAGGCTACTTGTTTGTTTTCCCTGAAACATCATAGGCATCTTAACAACTCTAAATCAAACCCACACATGCACACACTTGAAAAAGCAAGCTCAAGAAGATTTATGAATTTCCAAAATAATTTCCATCACCCTTGTGTTAACCATAGCACCATGGAGACCTGCAGCTGGGAATGGGGGAGGCAGAAACAGGACTGGATCTATGGTTTGTTTGATGGCTGATGTTTCTCATGAAGTCAAAAAGCCCTTAAAATTGTGAACTGATGTAAGTTAACCAAATAAAATTCAGTCTTGTCTTATTAAAGGAGAGAAACTTGTAGATGAAATATAATAATGCGGTGGAGACCTATTCATTGATAGCAGTACTCACTGGGAAAACACTGTATTTGTCGGAATCTACATCTTTGAATGGCACAGCCTTCTTTACAGATCTAGGAAGGAAAACAAAATGCCTGGTGAGCTAAGAAAGATATGATGTTTGTGAAAATTAACATGTTCAGATACTGGCTGTTTATATGGCAGATGCTGATCTAAATATAAAACCCAGAGTCTGGGTAGCTCATGAGAATGTCAGTCACACTTGGCCGATCATTGCTCTCTTCAACAGGACAGTTTCTCTCTATTTAACTTGGGCCATTTGAGAAGGTAAAATAAATGAATTGGAGGTGTAGGAGACATTGAATATTGATGTTATAGTAGACAGGAAATAGAAGAATTATGTTGGATCTAGTCCATGAAACCCAGCATTCCTGTGGTAGTTTGAATAGGAATGGCCCCCATAGGCGCATATTATATATTTAAATGCTTGGTCATTAGAGAGTGGCAGTACTTAACAGTGATTAGGAGGTCTGGCCTTGTTGGAGGAAGTGTGTCACTGGCAGTGGGGTGAATTTGGGGTCTCAAATGCTCAAGACAGGCCCAGTGTCTTCCTCTTTTCCTGCTGCTTGTGCCCAGATGTAGAACTCTCAACTTCTCCAGCACCATGTCTGCCTGCATGTCACCATTCTCCCTAACATGCGACAATGAACGAAACCCCTGAACTGTAAGGCAGCCCCTGTAACAATAAATCTTTCCATGGCAGCCACCCAAGCCCTGCCACCATGTGGGTGCTTTCCGCCAGGCTGCCCGAGTTCTGCCCACCACCATATTAAAGTCCCAAGTAACATACAGAGACATATTAGGTACAAATGCTGCTTGGCCAACTGACTAGGATTTCTTACTTGCTAACTCAGTCTTAAGTATTAACCATAAAGACTTATCTTATCGGACACCAGCTGCTGACATCCTCTTTTGCCAGGATCACATGGCAGCTCCAGAGCAGAGAGCAGAAGGAAGAGAAAACAACTGCCTTCTTGCCCCTGCTTATATATGAGTCTGCCTGCTATGTCACTTCCTGCTTGTATCACAAGACTTCTTTTTACTACATTTCCCAGAATCCTCCTCGACTCCTAGTCCCACCTATCTTGCTTTCCTATTGGCCAACAGTACTTTATTCATCAACCAATAATATACACAGAAGGACCTCCCTCATCAAGCCCCAATTAAATGCTTTCCTTAATAAGAGTTGCAGTGGTTATAGTGTCTCATCACAGCAATAAAACAGTGACTAAGGCAACTCCAAATTGTATTTGTACCCTTTAATACTCTGTTAAGGAAAACTCTTATTTTAACCACTCTGAGAATCTTGGGCATTTAATGGGCATAAGCTGGTGACTTCTGCCTTTCCTTATGAGGCTGAGTAGCCAAGAACACAAGCATGATGGCTAAGATAAATCAGATCAAAGTTACGAATACTCTGAAAGGAAGGGAACCCCCATCCCTTGCTACCAGACTTTTCTTGCTTCAAAATGGCAGCACTGCTTTCCCTTCCATTTGTGGGAAATCAGATATAGGACAGCAGAAGACTGCAGTCATGGGGTAGGATGAGGCTGTGCCTGGAATCTGAAATTTAGTGTTAGTAACATCAGACTGTGTGGGATTTTGTAATGGTCTTTTGAATCAAGGGCATCCAAGTAGACTGAATAAACAGAGCTCAAAAACAAGCAGGGTGGACATTTACAATCTATTTATTGACCTAAAGAAGAGGTCTGGGAGTCTAGAGGTTCAATGACCGTGGAGACTGATCTGTGGCTACCAGATCTTTGGCCACTGGAGAGTAACTTCACCTAAATGAAAGGGGACAATAATAGAGTCTGCCTCAACATACACAATAGTCCTCGGTGCATAGAAAGCAACAGCTAATTTGCTACGATGATGATTACCACACCATAGGTTGGTTTAAAGAGCAAACAAGGCTACGCTTATGTGTGCTTTGTAGGCCATAAATCACCAAATACATTATTGTATGGTACAAATTATAATTGAAGCACACAGACTTTTAAAAAAGGATAAAGTATGCTGTTTTCGCTTTTATAATAAAGGAATAATTTTCCTTTTAAGCTGGGCCAAGAAAATCTATGGCCTATGATGCTCCGGAATTAAAAAATTCAAAGGTGGTTCAATTAAAGAGTTGTCACTTGGATATCATTGGAAACTTCAATGGTGCCATTAAAGAAGAGGTGGAGGGGGGCATTCCAAATCATTTCAAGCCAAGAATGGTGAGATGATCGGACACCTGGGGAGCTGGTTGCACCTCAGCCTTGAAGCATCTTCTTTCATGTCTGACAGTCCCTTTTCAGAAACTGAGGCTCTCTATACCGAACCCCATCCACAGAAAGGGGTGAAGCTACTGCGCTAGGACTCAGGCCAGCTGACTGCAGGTCTCTTGTTAACAGATGAACTAGGAAAAGTTAAGAGACTCTGGATGTGGGTCAGAATCATAGCTGCCCCCTCCTTTCTCCAACTATCTTAATAGCAGCCTAGAGATCTTCAGCAAATGCAGTCCCCATGAAGCTCAAGCGATAATGAATGGTGGAGCACAGGAAAGCTTTTTATCATGGCTTGAATTATGTTCATTTCCCAGTAGTTGTGAACCTGGCCTTAATACAGGTAGGTCTTTACAGATGTAATTAGGTTAATTTGAGGTCCTTAGACTGGTTCTTCATCAGATATGACTAGCAGGTTGTAAGAAGTTAAAAACAAAAACCACCAGGAGGAAAATGATGGAGTGAAAAGTGAAGGTGGGGATTGGAGGGAGGCAGCTGTAAAGGTTGATGGGCACCACAGCATACAGAGAGAGGTAAAGAATGATTTTGCCAAGAACATCTGTTAGTGGAGCATGGCCCTGATGCCTTGGTTTTGAATTTCTAGTTTTCAAGACTGAAAGAGCTTACATTGTGCCATTTTGTGACAGCAGCAGCAGCAGGAACTTACAAAGCTCCTCAGATTGTATCTGCAGCCTGTCTCTTGTACCTGTGATCATTCTCATGTCTCTCATTCTCTTCCAGTGACAGCCAGGCTGGAGCAGGATGTAATAAAGTAACAGGAGCTCCCACATGAAAGCAAGAGAAAACAGGTGGCAGAGCAGATGCTGTTGTGGTCTGCATGAATAGCTCATATCCATTAAAGTATTACTTGTGCTTATATTATTTTAGCTATCTGCTGACATGTAGGCAATTGTTGAACATAAATAGCCAGGAGTCAGATTTGAGGACAAATTATCCAAAACTTACCTAGAGAATGTTTGGGGAAATGTAGTACTCTCTCACTAGGTCTAGGGCAAAGGAATCTGATTTTTAAAGTTCTCAGATGATTCTGAGGTAGCAAGGATTCTATTTACAGTTTGATTTTAGATAAGGGAAAGAGGTCTAGAGACATTGAGTTGGCTCAAGTTTTTTAAATCAACTCAAGATTAAAAGAAATTTCAGGCCTAAAAAGGAGTATAAAGGATTTATGAAACTAAATACACCCAGGGTAGAGGGGTTGGAGCTTCAATGGCCTGGGGAAATTACCTTTTTTAAGGGTTAGAGTTATGCTCTAGAGATAAAAATGTCCCTAGATGCTTCTGTGTTGATAGGTGGTGGCACTGTTGAAGGGTCTCATCAGAGGAAGCCCTTCGAGAGTTAGCCTTTGAAGGGTGCATGCCTGAGTTCTTGTGTGTGTGTGTGTGTGTGTGTGTGTGTGTGTGTGTGTGTATTTCTCCAGAGTTGTCTACTCTGTGTTAGTTAGTTATCTAACACAGAGAGCTAGGAGAAAGCTGGGCTATTTTGCTTCTCAAGCCATCATTTGCCTTACTTTTTGGAATATGAATTCTATGATATTTAGTTTAAGTTCAGACATAGGGTGAGGCTAAGCTCTGAAATAGTTTTGTTGTTGACAGCATTGAAGACTGAACTGAGACCTCTGTGCTAGCTGGGATGATGGTCTACTATCGAGATTCATCTCTCAGCCTGGGAAATGACATGGACAAGAGTGTGTGTTGACAGTGGTGGGAGGTGGGGGTGGAGGGTGGTGTTGTAGAATTTTGGGCAGTATCTTTCTGTGGTTACACCCATGACCAGTGCTGACTGTGAGAAGTGGAGGAAGCCCTGAGTGAGAGAAGTCTTGTGTAAGTTTGTGCTGCTGACATGGGCATTGCCATGTAAGGGATCATACAGACTCAGACCCATGGGAAAATATCAAAGCCTTCTCCCTGGGGTGAGACTCAGAGAGAAAGTAAAGCCTTTCTCTGGCCATGTATAGATATTGATAGTGTGTGCAGAACATGTCCACCATTTCCCCCACCTTGATGTTACTGCCTGAAAACTACTACCCTATAGACCTTGCTCCTACAGATATTAGCTAAACCTGCCTCCTTGATCCAGCTGTGTGACAGAAACCCTGGCTCTTTGTTTAACTATATGCAAGAACCCCTCTTCCTGTATGCAATGAATCAGCCTCTCTGTTCCATTCTGTCTAATAAGCACACTGAGCTTTAGGGGTCCTGAGGCTTCTCCATCAGAGACCCAGGTGCAGCCAATCCCTTTCTGTCTCTCTGTGTGCTTGCCTTTTCTTCTCACAACCAGAGTCAGGTAAAGTCCCAGAAGCTGTGCAAGAATGAGGCAGTCAACTTTATCTATACATTATATGGCAAGAAGAGGCTTCCCCCAAAGTGTTAAGCAATGATTGCCTGAAACTCTCTGGGGCACCACTCACTGGGGCTGAGATTGCCTGTGATACATTTCCAGAATTATTTTGTTCAAAGTAGATTTGTCTTTGAATTTCTGTACAAGCCTTGTTTTGAGCAAGAAACATGATCAATTTCAGGAGGATGCCTTTTAAATATGAACATCAATTTAGTTCCCAGAGAATAAAGACAAGCAAAGATATGTCATAACTGCTTTGACAGTAGAAACAGTATACATACAATTCAATTTTCTGGCAGATCTTGGCCAAAAATGGTAGTGAACAAATATTGGAGCCACTTTTATGATATTTCTGGGGAGATAAAAAGGACAACAAAAAGAGAGTGACTAACTCAAGGAATTGTTCTGACCAAAAGACCCCCATGTTGTCTGGATGGCGGGACCCAAACCTGGTTCCATTGTGCTCATCCAGATGTAGTTCCCATGCTCATCCTGTCTCCTGTACAGAGGTCTTGCTGGTTCCTGGGATTGGAATACAGTCTTCCCCTTCATCCAGCAATCTGTTACCACCTTCAGAGCCACCCTCATAGCTACCCTCACAGCCATCCACATATTCACCTTCATAGCCACTCTAAAAGCCACCCTCATAGACACCCTCATCGCCACCCTCATAGTCACCCACATAGTTACCCTCATAGTTACCCTCATAGTCATCCACATAGCCACCCTCATAGTCATTCACATAGCCACCCTCATAGCCACCCTCATAGCCACCCTCATAGCCACCCTCATAGCCACCCTCATAGACACCTTCATTGCCACCCTCATAGTCACCCACATAGCCACCTTCATAGCCACCCTCATAGCCACCTTCACACTTTTCTTCTTCCCAGATAGGACTTGTCTGCTTTGGTCAGCTACTCAAACATTTTTCTTCTGCGATGCCTTGAAAATAGGCTTAAAAATTCTTTAAATAAAATAATTGTATCCTATTGGGATAGTTAAGGAGATGCTGATAGGGAAACACAGTTGATTCCCACCAGCCCTGAGTCTTTGATGCCTATGAGGTATATTGTAGGCATTACTGTTATTTCCATTCTGGCCAAGAACTGACAACATTTTCAGAATATAAATGAGGTATTATATGGGTTGTTGGGATACCTTCCCCCAACCATGTCTATTCAAGGCACAGGGAATCACCATGTGGGTGGAGGTACCATATTTTGGCATTATTTGTGGGATCCAAAGTATAGGCATTAATAGGGCTCTCTAGGAACCCTGTAGGGAATGCTGATAACTCAGAAATTAGACAGGAAGGACACGTGGGAAGTAAGGCAGAAACACAGGAAGCTTTATAACCCAAGATACAGCTAATAGCTTTTCTAAGATACAAACTTTCATATTAGATGTACTGAATTGGGCACCCCAGGGTGGATTCTGGCAATCTGTCCTTCCTCATTTTTTTCATATAATTTTCATGCCACCTCTCTTGGGTCATTCTGCTGTCCACTAAGGCTTGAGAAACACTATTCCAGATCCTAGCCACTCAGGGTGTGGTTATAGTATCAGTGCTACCTGGGAGCCTCAAGAAACGCACAGCTCCCCCTACCACATATCTCAAGACAGTCTGTATTTCAACAAGATCCTTGATGTGCATACCAAAGGGAAGGAGTCTCAATCCTGGCTCGGGGAGCATGCTGGCACATACTGTGGACATATGCGAAGGCTTGGCTTATTAGGGGATGATAAGGCATTTCAGTCTTGGAGCATTGGGATCTACAAAATCCATGAACCATGCAAGAAACAAGACACATGACAGCTTAGGATTCATCTTCCTATTACCCCGAGGACAGCAGAGAATTGTTAAAGGGGTCACATATTTGTATCTTAAAAGAATGTCCAGGGATGGGTTTCCTAGTGGAGAAAGAAGGGGAAGAGCTCATTGCGCATGCAAGTCTTGGCTTCCTAGCCTTAAGCTTCCTTGTATACTGTGTGACCATTTCTGCTTGCTAGATGCCAGCAGCACAAATCAATCTCTAGACTCTGCCAAGTGTCCTGTATCCTGGGCTGGAGGTGAGGAACAAAGCTGTCACTGTTAGGAACCACACTGATGTGACATAGGGTAGAGGGCAGTGGCCGTGGAAGAAGGGGTGCTTTAGTAGGTTAAAGTCAAGACTTGGGGTCTGATTGAGATCAGAACTGTAGACACATAATAAAAGAAACATTATCATGTGATGGGGGAAGTGCTTCTGTGTATGTGTTTGTCTTATTGGATGATAAATAAAGTATGTTTGGCCAATGAAGCAGCAAGTTAGGCGGGACTAGGAGTCAAGGAGGATTCTGGGAAATGTAGTAAATAAGTGATCCAGGCAGGAAGTGACATAGCAGGGAGACTCATATATAAGCAAGGGCAAGAAAGCAGTTGCCCCTTCTCTCTTCCTCCTGCTCTCTGCTCTGGAGCCACCATATGAGCCTGGGAAGACAGGACGCTTCCGCTGGCATCCTATAAGATAAGTCTTATAAAATACATAGATTTATGATAATTAAGACTGAGCTAGCAGATGAGAAATCCTAGTCATTGGCCAAACAGCATTTGTACCTAATAAAAGTCTCTGTGTGTTAGTTGGGACCTTAACGTGGCGTAGGGCAGAACTTGGGCAGCCTGGCAGAAAGGGTCCATGTGGTGGCAGGGCTCAGGAGGTTTGGCATTAAGACTTATAACAAGCATGATCTCATACAAAACACTGGTTTCAGTTTGCAAGCATAGACACATTCTGAGACTTAAGTCAGCTGCATTTGGATATTGGAGCTACTTTTCTTAGTATTTACCTTAGTCTGAAAGCTTGTCTAATTATTCTAATGACAATGTAGAGTTCAACATTGATGATAACCAACACATAAAATTACAGGAACAGTCTTATAATTACTATACAAGAGGTACAATAGAGTAAAATTTTATAATTGCTCAACTGTTCATTGTCAAAATCCAGCTGGAAGGCTGCAGGTGCCTTTGCTATTCGTTGCACAGATACTGAGGTCAGGAAGTATGCAGTAGCCAAAGCAGCTTGTTCAGAGTCCTTCTGATCCTTCTGTCCAGACAGGTTTTTCTCTTCTGATCTTTGTGTCACATAAAGGGATGAAGACAATTGTTCCCAAGCCAACCTTTCCAACTCCAGGACAACGTACTTACAAAGACACACTGAAATGGACATGCAAGCTACACTACAGAAGTCCGTGCTTACATGATTGCTAGACCCCCACCTTTCAGTGTGAACTTTGCTAGACAGAGACAGGTGGTCTGTTAATAATGCAGAAATGGATTTAAAATTCTGAATTTGGCTGCATCAAAACCCATCTGAAAGGAAGGTGTAGGTAATCCCTGGGGACTGTGAAATCTAGCCAGCTCCTCTCACCAGATGTTAAGTGATGCAGGGCAACAAATGGGGCTTGAATAAAGAACATGGGGGGAATAGCATAAATGAATGGTCAAAGAGCGGGTGGGGGATTAAACCATTTTCCTATAGACACCTAACCTGAAATTAAATTTTCAATTCAATTGCTTTTTCACTTGGTGCATATTATATTACCTGGATTTAATTGTTCTGGACTAGAGTTTGAACATACTTGAACATGGGCATGTGTTAGCTTCCCCAGTAGCTATATTGGCCAGGTAGACCTGTGCTTCGTGTTTTGTGTACAGAGGCACTGGCTGTCCCCAGCATAATCTCACATACACCAAGACCAATCAACACAAGGGTGCTCCTCGGTTTCAGTACTGAGGAGGCCTGGTCAGAGAGTTATCAGCATAGCTGACAGGATATTTATGGACTTATGTGATGCATCCCATGCACTAGCTACATAGACAAAGTGATTGAGTCTCTGCCTCTCATCTTTAATGTGAGACTGAGGAGAAAACTATCCAGTTAGGATAGGTGAGAATTAAGTAAGATATCCACATCTTGGGTATTCTAAACAGTTGGCATATATGTTCTCTTCTATATACTAAAAAATCCCCCAAGGAGTCTCCCTAGGCTTCCTAGAGAGCCACACCTTTTCTGGAGCTTTAGAATCCTTCCACAACACAAAACTTATAGTTATGTCTGTGGATGTGTGTCTTTGTGTGGGTTTGTATTTGAGAGTGCAATGCCCTGAGAGGCCAGAAGAGGTTGTTAGATTCCCTGGAGCTGGAGTTAAAGGAGGTTGTACACTGTGTGATATAGATGCTGGGAACCAAGTTCCAGTCCTCTGCAAGAGCAGTAGATGCTCTTAACCTCCAAGCCATATCCCCAGCTCCTTCCGGTTCAGACATTTTATAGAAGGCCAAGAGGAAGAGCTCTCTGGGTCTTGGCTAGTAGGTCTTCAGTCACACTAGCCATCAGGTAGAACTGATTACAGCCAATATTCCCTGAGCAGGTTGTCAAAGACACTCACAGTTTTTCCCTTGTGATTTTAGTATGGAGTGTAAACACATGGAGAAAAGCTTCCAGGGAAGTTTTCATTTCTTAATTGTTGAAACAGTCAATAGATTTTTTTTTTTGAGATTGGAACCCTGCCTCACCAATTATGCTTTCATGCTGGTGACGGAAATAAAAAAATATAAAATCCTAATTAGCCTTTGTGTTTGTGCCAAAGCAGTTTGTGCCAGTAAAGTAAACAATGCCCTAAAATAAGTTTTAAATCTGTGCTGAGAGGAACAAAAGACAAACCACATTGTCCTCCATTCTGCAGGTGCTAGTTATGGAGATTCTGTGGTATTTCTACTTCTTATTCAACATATTAAGCAGACTAGATGAACTGGCCACAACTGACCTTTAATTATTCTGTAAATGAATCAATGAGTGATGAAGCTGACATCATGATTGATTAACCAATTCTGTAGAAATGTCTCTGTGTTACCATTTAACTTGGGTCAGTCTTGTCCATCAAAACTCATAGGACTCCTTCATGTTGCCATCTGAAAATACTGTATAGGGCACACAGAATAAAACTGTTGCCTATTATTTAAATCTAATTGGACATCCTATATTTTTATTTGTTGAATCTGGTCAGCCTTGATATAAATGATTTCCCTACCCTTTGTTTCTTCGTTGCTAAATCAATATGATTAGGTGCTTTGCCTGATAGTGAATGATAATGTAGCTATCAGACAGGAGAAGATGACAAGGCCTGAGCACCCTCACTGCTGTGGAATGCATCCTCACTGTCACCATGCCTAGCATCTAGCCTACTCTCCAGCTTCCCTTTCAAGTGGGACTGACTTGCCCCACTTACAAGAACTGAAAGTGTAATTGCTGAGGCAGGATTCCAACAATGCCTTAGAAAGGGAGCCTAAGTCAAACACTTAACTGGCTGATTTAAGCTAATCATTCTATCTGTTGAGAGTCATTACCAAGAGGGCAAATGGAGCTGAGCAGCAGTGGTAGTGACTTTTCACATTCCTGGGTGCTAAGGCCTCCTCAGGGTAGCAGGTGTTTTGAATATCTAAGATTTACTAGTCCATTTACAGAAGATACTACCATTGTCCTAATCCCACAGCCAGGAAGCCCAGGCTCACTGAAGTGAAATGCTGCTTGATACCTTGCTTTAGGAAGAGGAAGAGAGGAGACCACAACTTTCTCTAGAATGGTCTATCAGAGAGCCAGGGTTCTCAACTTGCCAACTACCATGAGAGTATTACAGTAGATGAATAGTGCTGGCATATGGCGGGTAGATGATAGAAATGGCTTTTGAACCCACAAAGCACAAGACAGCTCCTACAGAGGAGCCAGCCCAAAGTGCCAGAGCCCTGGGTCTGGTATTGCCTGCCCCAGAGTGAAGGCAAATGGGCAAGAGAAAAAAAATGGAAATGAGCTCAGGTTCAGTCCAAGGGTACTATATAGTATTGCCAGGCTTTGTCCAGGGAAACCTCTGGCTTTTGGAGTGTGAGAACAGGGCCTGTGAGAAGAGAGCACACCAAGGAAAAAGGCTGGCCTGCTACCAGCTGATTGCTTACCACAGTAGAGGACCTCTTGAGGATGTGTTTTGCCTTCTCCAGTGTAAATTTCCAGGCCTCCTATGGGAGCAAAATGAGATAACACCATAACTCCTATTTCACCTGTGATATACGTGTCTTTCCTAAAATTAGGATGAAAATCTACAAATATGCAATAAATGCACTGCTCCACTAATGTCTGATAAAATAATTTACAGAAAGGCAGTTTATTGTTACTAGGTGCACTCATTAATACTTTGTACCATGTGCTGTGCTAATTACTTTGAAAATGTCACTTTATGCAGTCTTTATCACAGCCCTGAGAGACATCACCACTGCAGTAGATGAAGAAGGTAAATATACCAATGCCAGGAAGCTGGCTCCAGGTCAGTAAACAGGGCTGGCAGACCACATTCTGAACTTTTGCTCCCTGACGGCCATGTGCACTGGTGTCCCTGAGTGAGTGGCCCCTCTGATCCCTCACAGCCACGTGTACTGGCAAATCAGTACTTTTAACAGTGCTCAATACCCCTAACCACTGGGGAAATGCAAATAAAAACTATATTGATATCCTGTCTCACTGGTGTCAAAATGACAGTCATTAAGAAAACAAGTGAAAAGCATTGGCAAGGATCTAAGCAAAAGAAATCCCTTCTACACTGCTTGTGGGATGATAGTCCTGCTACCTTGGAGCTCTGTACAGAAATTTAGCAGAAAGCTGAAAACAGGCCTTCTGTATGGCTGGGCCCAGTCTGGGTACCTGTCAAAGTATTCCAAACCAATATATTACAGAGACACTTGAGCATCTTCTACAGCACTATCCACAGCAGCTAAGCTATACAAACAGCCTAGCTGACTATCAGGGGGATGGATAAAGAATACACACACACACACACACACACACACACACACACACACACTCATGCACACACGCATGCACGCACACATGCATGCATTTTGTTCAGCCATAAAACAGTAAAGTTATATTATTTGCAGGAAAATGGATGCAACTGGAGATAGTAAGTAGTTACTAGAATGTAAGTAGGTATATAGATCATGTATAGATGACAGGATAATGGAAGTTAGACTACATAGGGAAACAAAGAGGACTATGGAAAGGAAGAAAGGGCAGTAAGGGAAAGGTACAGGGGCATAATAGGGAAAATGTGCTGAATACACAAAGCATACTTGTGTTAAAATGCCCTTAAGTCACATATTACTGTGTACAATGTATATATTATTAAACGTTTTTTAATTAAAAAATACCACTATTACATTAAGCAAGAAAAATATGGTTCCCGATTTTACAATACAGAAAAGCAAAGGACTATAGCACAGTAATTGTGGGCTAACATTCTCCCTTTTTGTTCTTCTCAATGCATTCTAATTTTAAGAATGAGGACAACTCCATCAATACATGCTGATTATTGTTGTTGTCCTTATGTTTGTCATAGCACTGCACCAAAGGCCCCCAACTCCACAGAGTTCTGTGCTGATTCTGTGTTCCTCCCAGAAGGCCAAGGGCAGGTTCATCAGGGTGCTGCTGCATGGGAGGTGCCGGGGAAGTGGGATGAGGTGCGGTAGGCAGTGGGGATTGGGCTTCAGGGATAGGCAGCAGCTTTTTCTAAGTCTGGAGGGAGTAAGAACATCCAGGAATAGACTGATGGGAGCAAGATCGCCTACTTGCTCAGTCTCCACCTCAAAATTCTAGCTCCATGGACCAGAAAGAAAGTCCACATCTTTGCTGAAAACTGGAAAAAATGGTAGGATCCAGAAATTAGACATTTGAAGCATTTCCTTGAGTCATGGTTTGGGTGACACCAGATAGAAGCAAAGAGGGAATAGCCTGATTTTTAACATGTTTATGGGGAGTAAGTGATAGGATCTAGGCTTGAAACCCCATAGGCTCTCTTAGGTTGGGGTGTACAAAGAAAGGTACTTGGTTCTAGTTGCAGTGCTACAGTGATGTAGACAGTCCCTCTGATGAAGTCTATTGGGCTGCTTCCCACTCAGCCACAGCTTCTATCAGACAATATAAGCAGATTATCTACCAGCAACAAGAGACCATCTTCCATTGAGCATTCACTTGATTTTAGTGTTAGGTATGGTCAGATCTTTTCAGACCCTCATTACTTTCTTCAGTTGGCTATCACGTTTCCTATTCCAGCTTTATTTATTTAACATCCTTATGAGTGGATTGCTAAGGAAAGCATCCCTCAGACTCACAAAGCTATACGTCTTTAAGCTCAAGCACAGCATATGGTGTGTGTGTGTGTGTGTGTGTGTGTGTGTGTGTGTGTATCTTCTAAACTTGTAACTCAAGTGTGGCAAGTACCAAAGGGCAACATGGCAAGGGGCACCAACAGTCTATAAAAGGGATGAGGAAGTGCCTTTTCTTCACTGTCAGGGCACATACTAGCATTTTCTGAAACACATTTGTTTAGTATGATTTAGTTGTCAATCCAAAACAGAACTGCCTCAAAGTCTTCAGACAAAAGGGTGCTGAGATTATTGATTGATGTTATCAGTTGGATTGTGTTTGACCTAAATTCCTGTGTTAAAGACCTAATCTCTCTGTATATCCAAATACGACCTTCTTTGGAAACAGGGTCATTATGGATAAAATGGGTTAAGATGAGATAAGATCATACTGGAATAGAATGTGCTCTTAACTTCTATATTACTAGTGTTCTTATAACTTGGACACATGAAAAGACAAAGACATATATAAATAAAAGAGGGAAAAAATAGCATGAAGATACAGGGAGAATACTATCTATAAGGAATGCCAATAATTCACAGGAAATTTCCAGAACAGAGTGACAAGAAACACAGGTATCACTCTACTCAGAGGACTAATACTACTGACACTTTAATCATGGGCCTCCAGTCTTCAGAAATGTGAGACACAAAATTCCTGGTGTTTAAGCTACTTAGTGTGCTATGGCAATGCCAGAATATGATAGAACTTCTCTCACCCTCCAGTGTGATGATAACCAAGCATACTTGATCTTGACCTAAGAGGAATTTGGATAATAGAAGAGCAGGATCTTAGGCTCAAACCATCAGGTAGCTCAGGGAGAAGCTTTGTTTCCTTTATCAAGAAGCTGCGTACCTAGGTAGAAATTCATATTACCCAGATGCAGGGATGCACATGGATAAGGGGAAAAAGAAGACACCTTTCTTTCCACCAGTCATTTCCTATGCAGTCATTCATTCTATTCACCCATCTCATAGGTACTTATTGAATATCTATGCTATGTTGTATCATAGACTGTTTATTAATGCCATGAGGAGACATCTAAAATCTTATAATATGGGGAGAGATTGACAGTAAACTGCAATTAGTACACTATGGAAAGTGGTGAGTAGTGCTGTGCTGTGCTGTTAGTATTTCTATTTCATATAGGAGGTAAGCTGATACTTAGAGTTAATAAAAATTTCATCTAGAGCCACAGAAAAGCTGAATAACACAATCCAAATTCATTGTGCATGACCAATGCTTTTCTCTTTGCTCTGGGAGATGTTAATAGGTGAGATAAAACGGAAAATAGAAAGTTTAAGAATTCTGGGAGCTAAATCTTTTTCTTAGAGAGCCATGGAATATGTCAATATTTTCATGATTTTGCAGTGTTTTGTGGGGATTGATATTACACAGATTAAGCATTCCCAACTGTAGTTTCAGCCAAGAGCACTAGGCCACACCAGCTTTAATGGGGAAGTATGGAGAAGACAGTGAACAGGGGTTCTTATGTATCTGAATTGTGCTTCTTGACACTGTAAAAGATGGATGAATTGGGCAAGACACAGTCTCTAACTCATCTTCCTTGTGTTCCATGATGTTAAAGAACTAGATTCTGGCATATGAGAATGAAGGAAGTAAAGGCAAATGCTGTTGTTAGGCACACGTTTCTACGGTGACAATTTTCAGTGATTGAGTTCTGTGCTATCAATTATAGCAGCAGCAGATTTGAAAAGTACCAAAAGTGCCTTTTGTTCACTCCATGCTTTTGACAGCAGTGACAGATTTCCACAAAGGAGAAAGCCCCTGGGAAGGGAAGTGATGATGATTGAGATGGATGGTTTATTCTAATTGTCAAGAGTGTGCTGGGAAGAAGAGATTTGGGGGTGGGGAATGATCACTAATTTACTATGAATTTCTTTTTGTAGAAGTTTATGAGGACAGGTTTTCCCTTACCCCTAAATTAAATGTACTAGTTTTCCTTTAAAATGGTGCAACATTTAGAAGATGCTATATCCAAGGACACCACTGTTCCCTCAAGGAGGTAAGCACATAGATGGCTGTAGCATAAGGCAGCACAGTATACAGAATGCTTGTGTGTGCTCTCCTCTAATACACAGGTTGAAACTCTGATTCCAATTTGGAAGTGGGGCTTTATGGATGTGATTAAGTCGTGAGGGTGTGGCTGACACAGGCGATTTGTGACCTAAGAAGAAGTTCTTCAGGTATGGTGGTTCACAGCTGGAATCCCAGCATCTGTGTGGTAGGTGTAGGAGGGTCATAAGTTTGAGGCCAGCCTGGGCTACAAGGGAAGGATTTCATCAAGATATCTCTCCATTCCCCACATGGTGATATAGTAAGAATCTGCATTCATTGGGGGGGGGATGAATAAAGCCATTCTGAACTGGCATCCTGATATTGGACTTCCACACCCCAAAACTGAGAAAAATTTCAGTTATTTATAATGTATGATACTTTAAAATGATAGTTTTAATTTATACTTTGAAAAATTTATGCTTACATATAATCATAGTTTTTTAAAATAACATCCCAAAATGACTATGACAGGCAGACTAGAAACAGCCAAGCAAAAAGTACAGAAAAGGACTTTGAGGTTATTTCCAGTAAGAAGAAATACAAAGGCAAGCTATTACATGCTTGTGAGTTTCCATCTCATATGGGCAACCTGGCCTTTGGGTGGAATTTGCAGGTGTATTTTTATCTGTGTGCCATGGCATCACACAGTGACTATTTGCCAATACCTAGGATTTAACTTCAGCAAAGCCCAGTTTCTTTCATGTTCTGACATTTTCCAGCTCTGATAGGCATTTATAACGTT